TGGGTAAAAATCTTATGAATTTATGCAAATGAAAGTTGTGCAATATAAATAAGTTTTATTTTTATTAAGATAAATTTTAATCAAATTTTACCATTGTTTTCAGTATGAGATATTGCTAGCCCAGCACTTGCTTTACCACACTGTCTGAAAACTGTGTGTTCCTGTACTAATTTTCTTCTTACAGTATCAATTTGGAGCTACTCTTGTAATATTAAAGTAGAAGATTTCTTGAGTTTAGATTTTCCCAACACAGAGAGACAACAACTCAAGCAGACTTTAAATGTTTAGAGGGCAGATATTGAGGATTTGTCCATAAAAGAGATTGAATGTGTATGTTTCAGAAGAATGACCAAATTTCCAATATTTAAGCTTGGAAATTAGATGATCTAGTATTTAAAGCTGCCACCCATCCCCCACCAAACACAGAGCCCAAGGCAAACAGGGCTAATTGACTGTGGTGTTCTTCCAGCTGAGCCGAGGCAAGCCCATGACTACCTAGTAGCTATTACCAACTGGTCAGAGTGGGCCTGTGTGAAATCTCATCATTTTCAAGTTAATTATGTTAAATTTGAGCTTTCACAGCTCCCTGCTCACATGGCAATGGATGTAGACATCAGGACAGATGACTATGGCCAGGATGACAATGAGCCAAAACAAAGTATTGAGGACCCTCTAACTGACAAGTTCCAATAACTCACTCTGAATTGAAAAATCCTAAATTCAACCATTCTAAATCAGGGGCCATTTGTGGTTGAAGTATGATTTGGTCCTTCTGTTTTAATTTTATGCCCTTCTTCTATTAGGAATTGTGAATTAAAGTCTTCTTAAAACTTTTAATTACACACACACACACACACACACACACACACTCCCACACATCATTTCAGATCATCTCAAAGATGTGAATTATAATAGGCTGGTTCCAGATCTCTATTTGCCACTGACTGTCTCTGGTTAGGCTCCCCTTACCAGACTGCCTGTGAAATTTGGAGTTTAGCCATACATTCTTTTTTAGAAAAACAAATCTGGCAGCAGCCTGTCCATTTTGCATTGCTATTTAAAAATCCTTCATGGGTTTGTCATTATTTACATATAATGGGATAAAATACAAACTCACATATATGAGGTTGAGTTCATCACCACAAAAGGACTACTTTACTCCTCTCATACTGCCCCTGCCCCTTATTTCATCATTTCCAAATCTTTCTTTGTATATGGTTGTGTTTGCTTTCTTTGGCAAATAACACAAATTTAGTGACTTAAAATGACACTAATTTATGATCTTGCAGTTATGAGGCTTAGAAGTTTAACATGTGTCTTTTTAAAAAAAAAATTGGTTCTTTTTGTTATATATGACAGTAGTCTCATTTTGACAAAATTACAAAAGCATGGAATATATCTTGTTTGAATTTAGTCCCTAGTACCTCTCCTTCCCCTTCCTTCCCCCACCCCCTGCTCCCTGCCCTCTACTGATCTGCTTTTTACCCATAGTTATTTTTTCTAATTAATTTCTTGTGGATGTACATGATAGTGAGATTCACCATGGTATATTCATATATGTACATAGGAAAGTTCGGTCAAGTTCATTCCACTGTCTTCCCCCTCCCCTGCTTCCTTTCATTCCCTATTGTCAAGTCTTAATGGGCTAAAATCAAGGAGTTGGTAAGGTAAGGATCCTCGTCCTGGTCTTCACCAGCTCCTAGAGGAGGCCCTCATTCTTTATTTTGCAGCCCCTTCTCATCTTCAAAGCCAGTGATGGCGAGTCTTTCCCACGTGGCAGTACTGTGACACTAGCTTCTGCTTCCCTCCTTCACTAAGGACACTTCTGATTACAGTAGGCCCAGCTGGATGATCCAGAATAACCTTCCCATCCTGAGATCCTTTACCATATCTGCAAACTCTCAGAGTGGACATCCCGGGGAGTCATTTTTCTGCCTGCCATAACTGTGTTCCTTCTGCCCAGAGGATCCACTTCTGTGCTTGAAGACTCTGACCCAGTCCTCAGGCATTCCTTAAGATCCTGTGGAAATGTAACCACTTCTATGAGGCCCTCTCCTCTCCTCCTTCTCAGGCCTGCATGCATGCAGACTGAAGCACTGGTACTGTAATTTATTTGTCCTCAAGCATATCACTGAATCAGATCATGAGTCACCCAGTCTTACTCATTTTGCAGCCTCAGAGGCCTAACTATAAAAGTTTGTGGAGAAGAAAAATTAATGTGATATTTTAATGGGTAAAGAACTTCAGTGGAGGTAGAGGCAAGACCAATAAAATATCTGCAGAACTTCTGTTAGGGAGTATGACTTATAAACTACTTCTGACAGCTCTGAATTGCTTATTATCACATAATCAATCAAACCCCTAAATATTTAAACCATTCCAAAGAGGTATTACAGCAAACTTAAAAATCAACCATTTGTATTCTAAGTCTATTTCTAACTTTAATGTGATTTGCTGTGGATTACAAAATATTGTAGAAGCTTTAAGTGTCCCCCTGGATTTGGCTAGAAAAGGTAACTTGCACCCCAAGTGCTAGGTCAAATGACAAGTCAGAGAAGTGATATCATATACAAGATTTCTGAATTAAGAATCAAAAACAAAACACTGCCTAACAAATCTCACTGGGCTGGTCAGAGGATAAAAATAATTTGGCTACAATATTTATTTAACATTTCAGTATCTGGAAGTTCTTACACAAAAATTATTAAAAAACCAAATTAAGCAAAATTTAAGTAGCCTCAAATACATAAATTGCAAGCCAAAGAAGCAGTTCAATAAATTAAGGACAAAAGATCTATTTTAAAAGTCAATGGTTTGCTATGAAAGCATATTAACACCAAATAATACAGAAATCCAAACGCATGGAAGTCACCTAAAAATGAGGTGCCTAGCAGTTGAACTTTAAAACCCAACAGTTAAGTACAAAGAAGAAGAGATTATTACCCGTCTTTTAACTTGAACACAAAGTTTGCTTTGTTATTTTGTCTTCATTAGCAATAATTAAACCTCTCTTTAACCTAACTTTTGTTCATTTTATTAGTTTTATGTTAGAACACACGGGATTTTTGAAGCCAAGGGTAGTATGTAAATAAGCTTTTGGTTAGACTTCATTTTTTTTCCCCCTTAGCACTGAGAAAATACTTAGGATTTTTAGATACAGTAGTGGGCCTATGGATCTGTATTAAACTTCACATTCCTAAAAGGTAAATTAGGTTCAGCTGATTCCTACAGATCAGGAGGAGCACAAGGCTAAGGGGAGACTCTCCCTTCTTCCACTTGGGAATTCAGACCGAGAATATAAAAACTGATGTACAGGGTAAGTTACATCATAGCAGATTTTAACCTTGGTGCATTTTCATAGAAAAGGGAAGCAGAATTATTCAATATTTGTGTTGGGGTTTTCTAAGTTTTTCTACAGAAGCAGCAGGAAATACATTTAGGAATAATCAACATCACTTGGCTAAAGTAGAGAACCCATGGTCTAGTCTGTGCAAATGGTGATCATTTTGCTACTCTTGTCCAGGCATTCAAGGTCTTTCCTGCTATTACATCTCATTTATGTATAAATATAACATACAGCCAACTTGGAGACATTACCTGGAATGGGAGTCCTAGTCATCTCAAGATTATAAACAAGAACCTACCTTAAAGGCTATTTACAGCTCAATGAAATATCAATGCATTTTAAAGGTCTATTAAGGCTGTGAACAAGAAATTTGTAATAGGCTTAATAAATAAACAACTGAACCACTAAGTAGTACTTAGGGAAACAGGCTTGAGCATTTAGGTTTAAGCAGAGGTAAAACTAGTTCTCAGTAGGACAAAGACTGTTTACCTTGCTCTGGTTAGAACCAACAGGGCTAACAGTGGGGGTTTTAGGAAGAACCAACTGTAGAAGCCCCAGTGGGGTCTACAAATTGCATTTTCTGTATTAGTAAAACGTCAAAACTATATTGTTCTAACTTACTCTCTCCTGAAAAGAAATCTTTTCCCATCTTGTATTTCATCTTGAACAATTTTACTATGTTTAGCATAGTAGTAACTGGGAAAAATGTGTTTCATCTAGAAACAAACGTGAGAAAACTTCAAAAAACATTACAGTTCTGCAGTGCTAGGTTTCCAAGTTTTTCATATAATGCCAAGATAAGGCAAAATAAAGACTGCTACAGTAACCAAACTTAACAAGTGTCTTTAAAAACAATGACATTGAACTGTTATAGATTATTTTCTACAACGTGAACAGATAATGGATCTGCATTCTTTTGTTTTTCATGCTAATTTGCTTTATAAACCTCGCGACTTTCAAGCATAATATTTTTTTTAGAGGAGGCAGGTTAATGCTCACGTTCACAATAAATCAGTTTGGCTAATATTTAGTTTTTTAAGCCAAGGAAGCACGTTTCCCCATTCTAGGCCATGAAGCAGTTCGATGTCAACTTGCTGTGGTGTCAAATGCGACAAACTCTGAGAGCTCCAGTCGCGAGGCGGCGGCACGCGCACGGTTTCCCGCACTCCTGCAGCACCAGGACGCTGCGCCCTCTCGGCCCCTAAAGCACAATCCGCACGCACCACCTTCAGTGCCACAGCCAGTACACTCTCCTCCCTGTGCGGGGTAAACTGAGGCACCGTGACCCGAGTGATGCAGAGCCCGATGATGTCCCCCGTTTCTGCTCGGCGTCCACTTGCCCCAGGAGACCTGGGCAGCGCACAGTGGACAACGCGTTCCCTGCCCTCAGAAGGTTACAGTAGAAGCCTAGGAGAGGCTGTTCCCAGCCCGCCAGCCCCCGCCCCTAACAGATCTCGAGCATCCTGAGACCCTCAGTAGCCGGCTGCTGGGACCTCGCTGAGCCTTTAGGGAGCGAGCAGTCTCCGCCTCCGGCTCTGCCAGACCAGGCGCCCGAAAGTTCCGCAGCTCCGGCGACTGCTCGGCCGCTGACCCGATGCGGGGCTCCCTCCCACCCGTGCCCCACCGCTCCAGCACTCCGGGTGCTCCCGCTAACCTGACACCGCTGCGCCACTCAGGTGGTAGCCGTGCACCCCTCGCCATGGCCAGCTGGAAAGCTGCCGCTGCGCCGCTCTCTGAGCCCAATGCCCGGGGGTGCCTAGTGCGGTCAAGCCGCCTCCGCCGGCGCCTAGCAGCTACGCGGGCTGCGCCACCGGCGACCGGGAGTGCGGAGCTTACCAACTACAGGAGCCGGAGCCGGCCGGTGCCGAGCATGCCCAGTGCGGCTAGCCGGGCGGCGCGGAGGCGCGGGGCCGCGCGGGGTGTAGCCGCCGGGTTTTCGCGGCAGCCGCGGCCGGGGGCGGGGGCGGGGCGCGGGGCGAGCCAGTGGGAACCGCTGCATCCACCCGCAGAGGACCACGGAGAGGCTGTTGTGCGCCCCGGAGTCCCTCATTCAGCGAGCGCAGCCTCTGGGCGGGGCTCAGTGGCCCTAGGGCTCCGCACCAGCACGCCGAGGGTTATTTACCCCAGCGGAGGGCACTTATTTTAGGCGCTGTCGTGCTTGGGCAGCGTGACTGGTAATTTTCGGGGGGCAGGGCGCCACCTGGGCTTCCACAGCAACTTTTTTGAGCGTCGCACTCACTGGTGTTCAAGGACACCCCGGAAAAGGCTAAGATTCTTAGAGTGCCATGGTGGACGCTAAGGGAAGAGGGTGTTCAACGAACACACTCCCAAACCTAGCCAGCCTCCAAGTCCGCCCTGCCACCTGGCAATCGGAAGCTTCTCAGGCCTTCCCGGCTGTGCGCTGTCTATTAATAAACGCTATTTATAGCAAAGCCTGCACACAGAAGAGGCTGTAAGAAAACACGGCAGACATCCACTGGTGACTGCTGAGAGTTGGGGTTCCGAGGGATTTTTTATTTTTTTCATTTGCTTCTTCCTTATTTCTATTTGTGGTTTCTATATCTTCTCAAAAGAACAATTGTTTTTTTTTTTTTTAAGAATAATTCTAAATTTTTTTACACGTCTATAGAAGTTTCTTGCCTGTACGATCCTGCAACGTTGGTGACTTTATTTTTATTTTTTAAAGACGTGAGAGAGCAAGTGAATTTGGGGGCGAGGACCAGGCTCCTCCTTCCCGGCTCTTCTTTGCCCGCCTCTTGGTCACGCCCCAAACCGGCCCTTTTACTCCAGCGCCTCCCTCTTGGCGGTAGGTTGCTGTGAAAATGCGGAGAGGTGGATTTTGCAAACTAAAGCGTATGATGGCTTCTGCAGCCAGACTGGGTAGGTTCTGTCGTCAGGTCAGGGATTGCTGTTAAAAAGAGATGAGGCTTTAAACAACTCGGTTTCTCTCTTTCTCTCTGTCCTTGACAAAATAAACCCACGCACTCCGGAGTTCACACCTGCAGAAGTGGGTCGGGATTCAACTGAGCATGCTCCGGGCAGTGCCAAACTGCCGCACGCGGCTGCCTCTGCTTGTCCAAGGGTGATGTAGTACATTGAAGCTCAGGAGGTGGGAAGCAGAGCTTTAAAGATTTGTAATACATCGGCACGTGGACAGGTCACCCATGCCCGAGTCCCTGTTGGTGGGGAGGGTGCGCGGGATCTGACATTCAAGCGAATCAAAACCTGATGATTGTGATTAGAGATCATTGTAGCATTATTTTATAGCATCTCGAATAACAACACGTTTTAGCTCAAAAAACTTCATGGGCTTTCTTTCAAGAAACCTAATCTTTCTTTTCAAGGTATTCAATAGGTATTCTTTACAATTGCACTAAAGCCCTAAATTAAATCAATGTCCCCGCTCTCAAATAATTCTGTAGCATTATATTCTTTTTTCCTCTTAGACATTAATACATTCACTCAGACGTATTTTCTTTCCTCCCTTTCCCTTTGAATCTCAAAGAAACTGCAGAATGCTTTCGGTATCTTAGAAACACTTGCAGTAAGTGTGGAGAGCTTGTGGGGGTTTTGTTTTATTTTGTTTGTTTGTTTGTTTTTTTTTTTTTTTTTTGGTACCAGGGATTGAACCACATCCCTAGCCCTTTTTATGTTTTATTTAGAGTCAGGGTCTTGCTTAGTTTCTTGGGGCCTCTCTAAATTGCTGAGGCTGGCCTTGACCTTGAGGTGCTCCTTCCTCAGCCTCCCCTGGGATAGGAGGCGTGCTCCACCAGGGCAGAGAACTTGCCTTTAATCTTCAGGTACAGAAGAAAAAACTAAAGTGGAGAAAGGTTATAGGGAAAAGATTTTACCGACATGAACTTAGTAAACTCAGAGAGTTACCAGAGGGTCTTTTATTGGACAAGGAAAGTGAATGGGATTAGTTTTGTCCAAGCAGGCAGATCAGCTGCCCAGTGAGGATTGGTGCATGAGTAGAAAATATCCTCAGGGTGAATTGCCCTTCATTTCAGCCTCTCTCATCTTAGACCAGCCCTATTTCAGCCTGGGAAAGGGTTGGGAGGATAATCTCTTAATGGCCTGTCACCGTGCTCTGTCTGGAGCTTTCTGCTCCCCAGGACCTTTCTTGATTCTCCAATCTGACTATCCCTCTCATCCTTTTTCTCCACAAACTCTTCCTTTGCACCATGCCATTGTAGGTGTTCTTTGGTTTCTTCCCTTCTGTTTCCCTGTGGTCTCTCATCCCTCTGATGATTGACAGTGCCAAGGTGGCATTAGTTGCTGTGTATCTTTATGGCTGTGTTTATTACTGGAATCCTTTCTGGCTGATAAGGCACCGGTTCTGATTAGTCAGTGTCTATTGTTTGTCCATACTTCTTATTAATATTTTGTATGTCATCTTTATCCCAAACCATATTTTCCTCTCCACATTTTCTTTATATGTAAGCTACCAAATAACTGGTGTGAACTTTTAGGAAATGTGAATCCAATATGCCTCAAACAGAACTCATCAGCTGTGATTTGCTTTTCTGCTTGTATTTCCTAGTTTGGTTTCTGGTACCTCCATCTATCCCACCAGGTGATCACCAATCTGGATATTTCTAGATTATTTATCTGCTTTTCCTCTGTCCCTGGCATTACCAGTTTTGCACTTAGGCACCTCTGAATGCCTCCCCTCCCCATGTCACAACCTCTGAATGCCTCCCCTCCCTCATGTCACCACCTACACTACCCTCTTAAATCCCCACCATCTTCCCTATCAATCACAGAGCAAGAATCTCCTAAGTGGATCCTCTCTGTGTCTTCTCCCACCCATCCTCATGCCTCCTTAGACTTTTCTTTTTGACCAAACTATATTACTGTATGTCTGCTAAAATTCCGTAAGTGAATTCACAGTGCCTTCAGTATAAAGTCCACGTTTTAAGTATGAACTGGCTCTTGTTTTCCTCTCTAGATTAGCTGCCTGCAGGTGTTCCCTAATTTGGCCAAGCCAAATTACCTGATGTGTGAATCCATACCTCTGTGTACTGGTTGCTCTTTTGTCTCTCTTTTCCAGTTCACCTGGCTAATGTTAAGTCTTCAGGAATGAGTTCAGACTGCATGTCTCCCTGACCTTTCTGTGGTGACTCCTTCTTGAAGACCTCACTTATGCCCTGTACTGTGTCACCATTATGGCCCCTGACCTTAATTTGATTTCCTTCATCTCCTCCACCATGGTGTAAGCCACTTGTAGGCTATGTCACAAATGTATTTCAATTCTCAGTCTCAATAGAACTTTTCTTAACAAATCAATGATAGACATATGTACACATATAAAATTTTAAGTTTTTTTTTTAATTTTAAAACTTCTTTTTGAGAATTGTAAGTATATTGCAAAGAAAAAAATACAAGAACCTATTACATCAGATGCAACCTGCTGAGTGATTGTGCTCCTTTGAGTAATAGAAGTGAGATCTCAGGTTTGACTCCATTAAATCCAAGCATTTTCTTCACCTTCAGAAATCAGGGAGTGTTTTGTGACCAATCTGAAGTACTTGTCTAATTGGCCTGTAATTGCATGAAGTTCAGTATTGTATTGCTAATTAATCCACAAATTCCTTTGTTCTCTATCACTATGCTTCCTTCTGCAATGTAGTTATAACCTCCTAATTATGTGGTTACTCCTCAGAGTAATTGTTTTTTTCTGTTGAAAGAGTGGCACTACAGGGCGGCAGATTAACTATTTAGGAATGAATATAATTTTTACAATTCTCTCAGCTCATGTTGTCAGCCAACACCTAGAACTAATTGTGAGGGACAATCACCTGCTTCAGAATCCCCCTGGGGATGATGAACCCATTCTAGACCTCCTGGATAGAGTGGTCCGGGATGCAGTGACTTCAATAAGCCCCTCCAGGTGATTCTGTAAACTCTATTTGAGAAGCAGTTCTACATCATGTAGATAAAAGAAATAATAATAATTATTAGTTCAAAACGTCAAAAAGTCCCTATTTTGGTTTACTTTGGTAGAGAGCTGTATATGCCTAGCAGGAGTATGAGTCCATTTTTAAAAAAGTACTATCCATATTTGTAATTTTTGATTAATTTTAGCTTTTATTAAGAGAGTCTGTAGGATAGAAGCATAACCTAATGAAGTAGCTTCTTATTTTTTTTTACTTGTAGAACCACACAGGAATTTTACCTGGTGACTGATAGAGGCCAAATATTACTCTTCAGCACATCCTTCCTAAACTCTGTCTCCTTCCATGGAGAGTGAACAGGGCAGGAAGGAAGTTTTGAACCCCCCTGGAAGAAAGTACTGAGGAGTATGATTCTTCCCTGGAAGTCTGAAAGAGCATATTTAGGAAGGGGTTTTCTGGGGGAGGAATTGAAGGAAGCAAACACTTTTCTCTTTAGTCTTATGACTTGCTGGCTCAGAGGAACAAAGCCTCTTGAAACGCCTGAGTCAGTGTTAGGAAAATATTTCCTTCCTTGTTAGCAGTTTAGACTGTGTATCAAGGTTGGTCCTTAAGAGGGATTGTGTGTGTGTGTGTGTGTGTGTGTGTGTGTGTGTGTGGTCTAACCAGTTCTCTCCAGCTGTAAAATCAAGAGGTCAAATGGCATGCCTGCAACTCATGAGGGGCAGAAGACCCAGCTTGAAGGGTCACACCCTTCCTGTCCTCCCTCTAAGATCACACCAAAGCCCTTCCCTCCTAGCCAGTTTGCTAGCCTGGACACTAACAGCTATCACGGTAGAGCTCCCCTGCCTCAGACTTCATTGATATAGGGACATGAATTATTGGCAGGAGAAGGGATGCATTTAGTACTTCATCTTCCAC